CTACGCTGGACTTCGAGGGCCAACTACCTCCCCTTTTACTCTGTTCTCCCTTGATGCCTTTTCAACCTCTGCTGCTCCCTTTTATTCACTTCCTTCCCTAACAGAATTCCATTCTTAGCCACTTATCTGTCGCCACCTGTTTATTCTACCTTTTTGCTTCTCTTCACACTTTAGCTGCTCCCTTTATCACAATTGATTCCCTGGTGCTTCTTCCCACGCCTCTTATTATAAACCCTCATTTCACGTGTTGTATCAATACCTTCCCGAAGAAGAGCCAACTTGTCCTCAAGGTGGAAGGAAGGAAATTGGTAATTCAGGCCGTCATACTCTTCCCAAGTATTCTCATGGTGGGGTAACCCTTTCCACTTAATTAGAACTTCTCTTTGACCATTGATTAGCTTGCGCATTTTCAGCACGTCTTCTTGTTCGACAACTAAAACCAGGTCCTCATTTAAGGAATCGGGAAGAGGCTGGATGTTTGGCGGAGGAAAATTGGCTTTCTTGAGTTGGGACACATGAAATACATTGTGGATACGAGCACTAGCTGGAAGTTCTAACCTGTAGGCGGCTGATCTGATTTTCTCTAGGATTCGGAATGGCCCATAAAACTGGGGACTTAGCTTTTCATTGCAGCAGGCTGCGAGTGATTTCATATGGTAAGGCTGTAGCTTAAGGTATGCAGATTCGTCCACTTCAAACTGAACATCCCATCTTTTCACATCGGCTGAACTTTTCATGGGGTTTTGAGCCTTATGCAAATTCTCCTTAAGCTTCAAGATAATACTGTTACGATTCTGAATCTGCTGATTGACTTCATCTACTGGGGAGCTGTGGTCTGCGTATTTCAACAATGTTGGAGGGTCTCGTCCGTACAAGGCCTTGAAAGGACTCATACCCGTGGAGCTGTTGTAAGTATTATTAAACCAGAATTCAGCCCACGGAATCTAGTGAGGCCATTGCCGAGGTTGATTTCCTACAAAACAGCGAAGGTAAGTTTCCAAACATCTGTTAACAACCTCCGTTTGACCATCTGTCTGCGGGTGATAGGCCGAGCTCATATGAAGCTTAGTTCCAGCCTGCTTAAATAGTTTTCCCCAAAAATGGCTCATGAACACTTAATCACAATCCGAAACGATCGTCCTTGGAAAGCCGTGGAGTCGTACCACATCTTTGATGAATGCGGCTGCTACTTCCGTGGTTGTATAAGGGTGTTTGAGCGTGAGGAAATGGCTATATTTAGTGAGTCTATCAACGACCACCAAGATAGTATCCACATTGTGTGCTTTTGGAAGCCCCACTATAAAATCCATGGAAATATCTTCCTTAACCTGGATTGGAATAGGAAGGGGCTGCAATAGACCAACAGGCCGCAATGCTTCATATTTGTTTTGTTGACACACACTACAAGAGTTCACATAATTTTGGATATCCCGCTTCATTCCATCCCAATAAAACACATTCATTAGGCGCTTGTATGTTCTGTAGAATCCAGAGTGGCCTCCAATCGGGGATGAGTGAAATTCATGCAAAAGTTTTTGAATATGAGGGCCTTGTTTTGGAACAACCAACCTGTTTTGGTACATAAAGTGTCTGCCCCTGAGTTTGAAATAAGGGTGGCCGTGAGGGTTAACCATGAGCTGTTGGGTGAGCTGTCGCAACTTATCATCTTGTTGGATGGCCTCTTCCAGTTCTTCGAATCTGCCGAAACAACCCATTGAAATGGCGTTGTTCCCCACATTCTCGGGCCGCCAGGACAATGCATCCGCAGCCTTGTTCTCTGGCCCTGGGTGGTATTGTATTTCAAATTGCAACCCCAGTAATTTTGACACCCATTTCTGCTGCTCTTCATTCAGCAACCTTTGTTCAGTCAGAAAATGGAGGCTTTTCTGGTCAGTTCTGATGACAAAACGTTGGCCAAGCAAATAATGTCTCCATTTCTGTACCGCCATCACGATAGCCATCATTTCTCTTTCATAAACCGACTTGAGTTTCGAATTTGTTGATAGCCCTTTACTGAGAAAAGCAAGCGGCCTTCCTTCTTGCATTAAAACAGCTCCCAAACCACAACCTGACGCATCAGTTTCAATGAAAATTATTTAGAGAAATCAGGCATTACCAACACCAGTACACTGGTCAGGGCAGATTTCAATGCCTCAAATGCTTCCTGAGGTTTCTCACCCCACATGAATGAATCCTTTCTCAATAAATTAGTCAAGGGAAGAGCTATCTTACCATACCCTTTCACAAAGCGTCTGTAATACCCTGTCAAGCTGAGGAACCCTCTGAGTGTTTTCACATCCTTTGGTTAGGGCCAGTTGACAATACTTTCAATCTTTGAGGGATCCACAGCCAACCCGTGTGCTGAAATGAAATGGCCCAAATATTATAATTGGGGTTGTCCGAAGAAACACTTCTTTCGGTTGGCCACTAACTGATGTTTTAGCAGCGTCTGAAACGTGAGACTGAGATGCTGCATGTGGTCATCCATTGTTTTGTTGTACACCAGAATATCATCAAAGAATACCAGAATAAACTTCCGAAGGTATGGCCAAAAAACCTCATTCATCAAGGCTTGGAATTTGGATGGGGCATTGGTCAACCCGAATGGCATAACGAGGAATTCATAGTGCCCTTCGTGAGTTCGGAAAGCTGTCTTGTGGGTATCCTCTGGTCGCACCCTAATTTGGTGGTACCCGGACTTCAAATCCAGCTTGGAGAATACCTTGGCCCCTCCAAGTTCATCGAATAACTCGTCAATGGCGGGAATGGGAAACCTGTCTGGGATTGTTACTTTGTTGAGTGCCCTGTAATCAACGCAGAACCGCCACCCACCATCTTTCTTCTTAACCAGCAGAACCGGACTGGAAAAAGGACTGATACTCAGCTTAATAATCCCCGAAGCTAACATCTCACTAATGATTTTCTCAATCTCATTTTTCTGGTAATAAGGATATCTGTAAGGTCGAAGGTTTGGGGTTTGGGCATCAGGATTTAATCGAATGGCATGATCTTGAGGTCTACTTGGTGGTAAACCCGGCAAAGGCTCAAAGACAGACTGAAATTTTGCTAAAGACAGACTGAAATTTTGCTAACACTGACAACAGGCTACTACTGACACTAGCATCTTCATCCGATTGTTTTTGTAATTGCCCAAATTCGACCAGATATCCAGTTCCTTCACTCTTCAATGTTTGGATCATTGCTTTAAGGGAAACCATTGTTTTACTCAACGCCGGATCACCTATAAGAGTCACCATTTCTTTACCCAGCCGAAATTTCATTACCTGCTTTCTCCAATCCATTGTAGTTTCACGCAACGTTTCTAACCAAGCCATACCGAGGACAACATCTGCACTACTCATGTCAAAAGGAAAAAAATCTTGAATTATTCGTACCTCCTGAACTTCTAAACATACTGCCTTACATTCGCCCTCACTCCTTACCTTATATCCATCTCCAACACACACCACAAACGACTGTGTTTGTGTCACAATAATGCCCAACTTTTCTACAATCTCCTTACTAATGAAGTTGTGGAAAGCCCCACTGTCAATCAAGATAATCACCTCCTAACCCATTATACTCCCCTTCAACTTCATCGTTTTTGATCCATTGATTCCAACAACCGAACTCAAAGAAAGTTCAACATTACCTTGGCCTTGATCTTCCATTGTTGCTTCACTGATTTCCACGTCACCCAGATCCGGATCTTCTTCTTCTTCGTCAACTAAAATTACTTGAAATTGCTTCTCACCACACTTATGACCAAAGAAATACTTCCCATCACACTTGAAGCACAAGCCCTTTTCCCTTTTTCGTTGTATTTCTGCCTCTGTCATCTTTTGAAAAGGGAAATCACGTCGTGGTGGATGAACTCTGTCGAAGGGCCTGAAAGTTGTAGACGCGTGTTCGCGAGGAGAAGAATGAATCGATGAACACATGGTGTTACTCTCTGTGTTTCGTTGTCCCACATTGGAGACTGAATTTGAAAATGCATTTGATTTTAGGGCTTCATTTGCGTTTGGGGATTTGAGTGAATTGGGTCAGGTTGTAATTGGGTTAAAAGTTGGGTTAAAATTTCAGGATCCAAAGTTATTTGACCCAACATGAATACCAGGCCCATTCCACCTATTGCTTCTTGCTGGGCCATTCTTTGCCTCCTCTAAAGCCCAATTGCGTTCCTCCACCCTATGGGCTCTCTCTATGATTTGAAGAAGTGTGTTAGGCTGGATCAGTCTTAATTCGGCCCGAATCTCTACCCTCAGTCCATTCAAAAACGCAGCACTCAAGATTTCTTCCTTCTCTTCCACCAACAAAGCAGCTATCGCCTCAAACCTGTGTCTAAATTCTGCAACTGTACTGGTTTGTTTCATGGCCATGAGTGTCTCGTAAGGGTTACTCTCTTGGGATCTACTAAATCTTTGAATTAAGGCGAGTTTGAACAATGGCCATGAGTTAACCGGTGCTCTGACCTCCATCCACTAATACCAGTTAATGGCTTCTCCTTCCATACATACTGTTGCAGTTGTGAGTTTCCTTTCATCTGGAATTCCATTTAGACTGAAGTACCTCTCAATTCTAAAAATCCACCCATACGGATCTTCACCCATAAAAATGGGTAACTCCAGTTTACGTCCTCCTACCTCACTCTGATTCTGTCCTGAACTTCCAGATCCATTGATCCCGTTTTGGTTCTCCCCACCCTTGTTTCTCACGTTCCTGGATGATGATGGTTCACCTCACCCAGCTTCCTCTTCATCTTTTCTTCTCATCCAACTTTGTATCTCTACCATACACTCACGAATAGTTCCCATGTCAGCCCCAATTTCGTCACTTCTCTTTCCACATTTTCTAGTCTTGATTCCATTCTCGTTGCTACCATTACCCACACGCGTGCTCTGATACCAAATTGTTGCGAACCTACTCTATTGTACTAGTTCAATCATCCACAAATTCACAGCATCAAAATATTCAACCATTAAGTATAAACAATCTAAACATTCAGAACTTCAAGTATGTATTTCCTGGTAAAGTCAGATTTACATTCATGTATGGACACTTCTCAACACCAGAATTCAATTAACAAACAACAAAGAAAATAAATGGAACTGCTACGCTGGACTTCGAGGGCCAGCTACCTCCCCTTTTACTCTATTCTCCCTTGATGCCTTTTGAACCTCTACTGCTCCCTTTTATTCACTTCCTTCCCTAACAGAATTCCATTCTCAGCCACTTATCTGTCGCCACCTGTTTATTCTACCTTTTTGCTTCTCTTCACACTTGAGCTGCTCCCTTTATCACAATTGATTCCCTGGTGCTTCTTCCCATGCCTCTTATTATAAACCCTCATTTCACGTGTTGTATCAGAGTCCAAAAACCTGCAGTTAAACCAGAAAGCAGAAGCGATCGTTACAAAGAAAACATTTCATTTTCAAATTTGTAGTCATTAAAAGAATATAATAGACACCTACAAAAGAACTAACCAGTATACACTGAATGTAACAACAAAATTATAAAACAACACACAAAACTGGCATAAATAAATCAATTCAGTTTCCTTTTATATACATTTCTCAAAACTCAGCCAAAGGTACTTAAAGATAAATGAACTAGTTAATACAACACAACAAACCTATAATATACAAATCAGACCAGATAACCCAGAAGATAAAATTACAAACATAAAATCCTCCTCCACTAAGGCTGTATATAATCTAAAATTAATGATCTGCCAATCCTTTCATATTCCACTCTTATCCAAGACTTGATTCTAAAATGATCACAACAAAATTATAAACCATAAACCCATTTTCAGGAAACCATTACAGCAATTAACCCTAGCATAAACTGGAGGTTTTCATTGCCGTTTTGTTTTGTTATTGTAATTGTAATCAAACACACATTTAAATAAAACATATGATCATCAAAAACATTAACCAGAAAATTTAAAAATATTTTCTGATTTCAAATTTGCAGTCGTCACCAACCACATAAGCATAAAAAATCTAAAAATGAATGGATAAATTAATAATAAATGAATATAATATACCTAACAATTGGATAAGAAATCAGAAGTAAGCTGATCAATTTCAAAAAAAATGGAAAGCGTTAAAATTAAGGCGATGGGAGGAGAAAAGACAGAAGATTGAAATTCCAATGGATGTAGATTGAATTTCTTTATTAAAGAAATCCAATCTACATCCATTGGAAATTGAAGGAGTTGTTTGAGATATAAAGGCGGTGTGAGAATCAGCAGGTTTTAATAAAATAAAATAAAATAAAAATATGAAGTACAGATAAGGCGGAAATGGAAATGGAAATTGAAATGAAATGCACATTTTGAAAGGTCATTTTTGTAGTCAAGATCATTTATAGGGAAGAAAAAGTTTATACTACCAAACATAATCATGAAGCAAAAAAAGACTCAACCAAACACTTTTATATTTCCACTGAAACTTTCAATAAAAAATTGCACAGAAAATAACTAAATGAATCATTATTTAATAGTTAAACATCCACCAACCAAAGAGAACTTAACAAATAGTTAAATATTTAGTTAGAGATGAACACAACCCTTCAACTACTTTCGCAAGGCTAATCCATTCAAAGTCAAAATAAGCAAAACAAAGAATAGTTCCAATCAGAGTAAAACATACCATTGATTCCAATCTTTGTGCTCCCACTGCTCCGTGTTTCTAACAAAACAAAACAGATCAACACACTATTAAACTAGTTTCCAAGATTATGAATCACTAAATGAAATCCTTTTATTCTTACTTTGAACTATGGGTGGCAACTCTGTAGCAGTGGCTTTGATGGGTTGAATACTGTTGGCAACTGAGATTCCAAGCTCAGTTCAGTCAACAACAACCAAACGGAGCTTCTAAAAATCGAAGGCAAAAACAGAGGACGAAAATCGGACCTTGAGACGATCGGAGGAGGAAGAAGAGAAGTCAGCGGCGCGTGAAAGAGAAACGGTGGGCATAGATCTAAGGAGAGAAGAGAAAGCCATTTGTTGAAAAAAAACAATGCCACTTTTCCCAAGGCTTCTCTTCTTAACAAGTAGAAACCCTAAAAAAGAGGAACAGAAAAGAAAGGACAGGGCTGGCTTTTGAGTTTTGAGAGGAGGCAGGCAGGCAATGGCCAAAACACGAAATGAAGTGTTTTTAAAAGCAAAAGAAAACAATTGTTTTTTCTCAGTTTTGGGTTAAGAGTTGCAGAGAATCCCAAATCCATAATAAGGAAATTAAAGTCTAAGATGTCAATCCTAATAACAACTATAACTTTAGATGCGAAAATAACATACCCAAAATTTCAATTTATTTCAAGCGGAAACATAGGGCATTCAAAATTTACCATACATTTGGCAACTAAAATCTTAGTTGTCAAAAGAAGATAATTTGCAACTAACTAATTAGTTATGCAAAAATAATTTTAGTCACAAATTAAAATAATATTTTTTTATTTTACCGAGAAAGTTAGGTTCAAAAAAATTCATCAACTTTTAGTGACTAAATACATTTTAGTTGCTATACATGAGCTTTTGCAACTAGTTGTAATATGCACAAAATAATTAGTTGCCAAATGTACCCTGGGCCCTTTGTAATTATTGTCAAAAGCTTGGATATTTCGGTAATTGTATTATTTTATAACTAATAAAAATAGTTACAAATTAATTAATAAATATTTGCATCTAATTTAGCAACTATTCAGTAGTTGCAAATAATTGTTTTCTGTAACCATAATTTTAGTTGCAGAATCTCTTGTTGTAGTTGTCAATTGTGTTCGCATAAGAATTGACAACCAAATAAATTAGTTGCTGATATGATATTTTGGGCAACAAATCACATTAGTCGCAAAGTATTAATTTTAGACACTAAAGGTGGGAATAAATGGGCCCTAGAATTTTATTCCCTTTGGCCGACTAATTGGAATTTAGTTACTAAATGTGGGGTATCTGCAACTATTTTTGCCTAGTTGCAAAAAAATGGTTGCAAAAAGTACTTTTTTCTTGTAGTGTAAGTTCATCAAAAATAGCACGCCTGGAAATAAAGACATGATTAGTGGAACGATCAAAACAATGAAAGCCTTTGTGAGACATACTATAGCCAAGAAAAACACATGGACGACTGCAAGGGGCTAATTTGTGAGAAGCATAATCATGTAAGTATGGAAATACAAGGCAGCCAAAAGGATGAAAATTGGAATAAATGGGAGACTTACCATACAGAAGCTCAAAAGGAGACAAGGCATCAATAGGAGGCGTGGGCAACCGATTAATGGTGAAAGCAATTGTGCTAAAGGCATCTATCCAAAATTTCAGAGGGACATGCGAGTGAAAGAGCATCACTAAACCAGTTTCAGTTATATGACAATGTTTACGCTCGACAAGGCCATTTTGGGTCGGTGTATAAGGACAAGACATTTGATGATGAATGTCACAGTTTAGTAAATGATCCCGAAAATTATGATTGGTAAATTCAGTGCCTCCATCAGTTTGAAATACTTTGATTTTAACTGAAAACTGATTTTCCACAAATTTCTGAAATTGAAGACAAATGCGGTAAAAATCGGATTTAAATTTCAAAGGATAGAGCCACGTAAATCGGGAATGATCATCAACAAAAATGACATAATATTTATAACCCAAATTTGATGGAACGGGAGATGGACCCCATAAATCACAATGAATAAGATCCAAAACATGAGATGCCTGTTTGTCATTATGTTGAAATGGAAATCTATGACTTTTTGAAAGTTGACAACTAGAACAAATGAGATGCCCGTTTGTCATTATGTTGAAATGGAAGTCTATGACTTTTTGCAAGTTGACAACTAGAACAAATGGTGGGAGTAGGAAGCAAAGAAGTCACACATAATTGATGATTTTTATTCAAAAGAGAAATAATAGAGTGAGAAACATGACCCAAACGAGCATGCCAAACATCAAATGAAGCTCGAGGACAATTATTAGAGAAAACATAAATTAAATATTGATGTCCACGCTTAAGCACATAAAGACCGTCTTCACGCCGTCCGGTTGCCACCACCTTTCTTGTGACTTGATTCTATATAATAAAGCGATCATTGGTAAAGGTGATAGAAAAGGGGAAATCAGAGGTAAGTTTACTGATGGAAATCAAATTTTTGGTTAAGCCAGGCACAACTAAGATATCTTTTAAAGTAAGGGAAGAGGTTGGAGATAGGGTACCGGTGTGAGAAATAGGAAGAGAGGCACCATTACCGACAATAACACGATCCTTACCAGTGTACGTATCAGACTTGTCCAACTGAGTAGCATCATTAGTCGTGCGTAGTGGCTCCAGTGTCCGTATACCAATCAGAAGCCTGATTATCATTTAGTGTGCATAAGGTAAAAGCCTCCACAAGGTTGGTAGCGTTTGAGGAATGGGAGTAGCGGTCAAGGAAAGAAGTGGCGTAATGCCCTTCCCTATGATAAATCTGACAACGGATAAGACGGTTGTGTTGATGACGACCACCACCACGACTATGACCCCCATGAGAAGCACGAGCACCCCTACAAGCAGAGGCAGATTTGTTACTGTGAGAGGCAATGAAGGCGACAAAAGTAGATCCCGTGGAAGGCAGCTCCAATGATTTAACAAAATTTTCATAACTCTCTGTCATGGGAACAATCTCAGTAAAAGAAAAAAGAGATGAAAGAGATAACTGTGTAGTAGAAAAGGTGAAAAAAGCAGAGCCAAGTCCACATAAATACCAATGTATTTTGTCGAGGTCATCTACAGAGCGACCCATGGCAGCAAGCTGGTCACAAATAGATTTGAACTCACGGGAATATTCAACAACAGACCGAGCATCTTTCTTCATATGCTGCAATTCATCTTTTAAACGCAGCTACTGGGATTTGGAACGATGACTGAAGGTGGTCTCTAAAGTGGACCAGACTACATGCGAAGAGGTCAGGCCAACAACAATAGACAGGGCTTCTTCAGTCAACAAAGCAAGGAGGAGACTTAGTACAAGTTGATCAATCTGCTGCCATTGAGCAAATGTTGGATTGACAATGGCAGAGGCACCAGAATCGATAATTGCAGAAGGAGGTGTGATGGAGCTATCAACGTATCCAAGGAGATGTTGACACTGCAGCAATGGCAGTATTTGACTACGCCAGAGGAGAAAGTTGGAAGAAGATAACTTGATGGACAAGAGGTGGGCCATGGTGTTGAAAGACAGGGTAAGGGATAGAGTTTCAGAGGCCATTTGGATCGACAGAGGTGAATCCTTAGAGGACTACTGATACCATGACAAGGTTTGAAAAACCACCTTAAAGTTGTCAGATGGTGCATGTCTCATTTATAGAATATACAGAGCAAAATTACAACAAGATAATTTTCGTACAAAGTCAACATTTCCATCTATAGCTATTGTCTATAATCAAGAGATTGCCTAGAATCATGGGATTGGGTTTTGATAAAAGATACAGCATGATTTGAGGAGGATCTTGTGGATTCTTCTGTATCCATAATACCCCCCGCAAGCCTAGTGTCTTGGAATTAGAGATGCGAAAAAAAAGAACGTAAAAATATGAAGGTAGGTCGGCCGAGACTTTTGGTGAACATGTCGGCAATTTGTGAGTGTGTGGGGACATAACGAATCTTGAGTTCTTCGGAGGCCACCAATTCTCTCACAAAATGATAATCCAAATCAATATGCTTAGAACGCTTATGAGAGACTAGATTGACAGCGAGAAAAATGGAGTTTTGATTATCACAAAGCATGACCTGAGGAGATGGAGAAGACACATGAAGATCCCGAAGAAGAAGCCGCAACCACTTAACCTCAGCGGCAGTGAGGGCCAATGCTCGATATTCAGATTCATAGCTGGACAGGGAAACCGTTGGTTGCTTCTTGGAACTCCAGGACACCAGATTACCACCAAAATAAACAGCATAACCAGAAATTGAGTGACGCGTATCGGGACACCCAGCCCAATCGACATCTAAATAAGTAATGAGTTCTCTAGAAGAAGATGGAGCGAAAGATAAACCAAATCGAAGAGTCCCCTTAATGTAGCGTAGTATTCTTTTAACAACCTAAAAATGAAAAATAGACGGCTTATGCATGAACTGACTAACGGCACTTACAGCATGAGCAATATCTGGACGAGTGATTTGAGATGTTGAAGGGCACCTACGAGCGATCGGTAGAGGGATGGATCATCAAAATCTGGGCCAATTTTGGAAAGGTCTGAGCAACCACCATGGGAGTACCCACCGGTTTGGAGTCAACTAACTATGCACGCTGTAAGATCTCATGGGCGTACTTGGCTTGGCTAAGAAAAATACCAGTAGACGTGCGCTAAGCTTCCAAGCCCAAAAAATAGTTCAAAGATCCAAGGTCCTTGGTGGCAAATTCATGAGTCAACTTGCCAATAAATCCATCGAGGAGTGCCGAATTGCTGCCAGTCACGACAATGTCGTCAACATAGAGTAATAAATAGATAAAGTCAGCACCCTTGGAGAGAACAAATAAAGATGAGTCAGCACGACTACAAATGAAGCCAATAGCCAAGAGAAAAGAGCTAAAGTGATGGGACTAAGCACGTGGAGCTTGCTTGAGACCATAGAGAACCCGACGAAGCTGACAAATATGTGTAGGATATTTAAGATCAACATATCCAGACGGTTGATCCATATAAACCTCTTCCTGCAAAAGACCATTACGAAATGCATTTTTGACATCAAGTTGCCGTAAAGGCCAATTATTAGAGACGGCCAGGGATAAAACAACTTGGACTATGGAAGCCTTAACAACAGGACTAAAGTATCAGTGAAGTCGAGGCCCAGTTGTTGTGTGTAGCCCTTTGCAACAAGATGAGCCTTAAGACGATCCACAATGCCATCAGATAGAAATTTGATGCGGAAAACCCATTTGGAGCCCACAACATTTTTGTTGGGTGGTTTAGGTACAAGATCCCATGTATGATTCTTATGAAGGGCCTAAATTTCTTCATCCATGGTAGCAATCCAACCGGGATGTTTGGCAGCAGACTTGAAGCCTTTGGGCTCGCACATGGTGAGAAGAGAGTGGAGCAAGCCGGAGTGAGGAACTATGCACACATGGGATTGATGGGCAGGCTTGAAAATTCCCGATTTAGCCCGAGTTTGCATCGGATGAGTGCCAATTAGAGAAGAACAACCCGAGGCTGTAAGGGAGGATACATTGTGACAGGATCTGGGTCAGCGGGCATGAGATTTGAGGCATGTGAAG